CGTCACCTCCTTCACTTATCCCACTAGGAAGGCTGGTTTCAACTACAGACAGTCGGAAGGGATGAAGATGTCAAAGCTAGTCAGAATGGGTAAGGCAAGATACGGCTCCATTAACCTGGAACCAGTTTGGAAATCTTCTGCAGTGCACTCAGCATGAGGAAGAAGATTCGGATTTTCAACACCAATGTGAAGTCGGTCAGTTATTCCATAGGGGTCAGAAACTTGCACTCCATGTCACGAAAAGGCTTTCCAACAGGCTTTGGACTTTTATCAACGGCTGCCCTCTTCGCCGCCTCCATATCAAAGACCAGATGGCCAGCAAGAACTGGTAAAAAGGAAATCTAAGAAAGAACCGACCAAGAAGCTACTTCTCAATAGGTATGCCGCAGAAAATGCAGATGGATGGGACACACGCTAAGGAGACCGTAGAATGAGATTGAGTCTGAGGCTAGAACCACGGATGGGCCCGAATGAGGAACGATGAGTTGGGCATCCAAGAGTGATATGGAAGAGATCGTGTGGGTTGGCGATAAGAGACTATAAGCAATTGTGAGGCCAGCTGAAGGGGGCTGCAGAGAGCAATGAAAAATGGAGAGAGAGAGAGGCTGTTGAAATCCTATTTTTCATGTAGAACCCAAAAGAGTAATATTTATAATAACGGTAACTAGGGTAATAGTACCAATAATGATACTTAATGGAGGTAGATAGATCGTCTTACTCGACTATTCATACTCAATAAAAGATGAGACCTAGGGTTAATGCATAATGGTTCAACTCCTTTCACCTTATATTTTCACACCAGGTAGAAATTAATATGAAGGATGACAAAGAAATAAAAAGTATCCACTTAAACCGTATACAAGACTGAAACAAATGGACGGACGTGGTACTATGACTAAGATTAAGGTAACTAAGTAATAAATCCAACTGTATCCCCATCACCGATTCTTAATCGCATCTTTTTTATCTCCCTACTCAAAGTGAAGGTGGTAACTTCAAGGGTTAAACCATCGTTAACTCTCCCACAGTAAAATCCTACTTCTGCCAGTATGGTAGTTTAAAATATCGGGTTGGTATTCAGAGGTAACATATGGCTGAGACAACCTTATCGATAAGGACTGGCAGATTCATTGATCGGTTTCCTGTTTTACCTTCTAACAGTAAGAATCTACACAAATTCAGCCCTTGTGAGTTAATTAAAACCATTACAGATCTATCTTTAATGACAATGTTTCATAATTATTCAGTGAAACGAAGCACGCTAATGAAAAGTATTCACTGCTCAGTAGATTATCGAACACCCTAGCAGCTCTAACAGCAGCATAAGCCAGTGGAAGTAGAGTGAACATTATGTACTTACACCTAGACTATATCAACCGCATACTACCGTGGTTGATGTGATTCTTTTTATAAAAGCCATTCAGTCAGTGAGCCAAACCAATTCACCTCGAATCAATTATGCACAATAAAGAGATGAAAGATTTATTTCAAATATTTTTCACCTGTAAAAGACGCCGTTTTACAAGCTTCTACGCTTTTTATCACGAGCAGATTTATTCATCTATGAACACATCTGTTACAAAGTCGAATAAAAACTAAGAGATTCAACAACTCTGTTGGACACTTTAAACTTTTTGCCTATAGTTTGGTTTGTAAGGATTAGTTATGTTTTACGAGTTGATCACGGACTGATATCAGTTAGAGAACCATTGAAAACCAGGGAGTACTGGACAGTTGTTTCCTCCACAACCAATGTCATCTGTAAGGATGGATGTCCCACCGACGACATTGGTTGGGGTCGCGCTAAATCACGAATTGGTAGAAGTTAGAATTCATGAGCCATTGAATCGTATCCAAGTGGCTGAATGGTATACGAGCTTGCCTTGTCACCAGAAGGTTCTGTGTTCGAACCCCAGTGGGTGCGTACTGGCGATGATTCCCAAACTAGGATGAAACAGCTGTCCAGTACCCCATTGCTGGTTTTCAATAGTTTTCTAACTGATATCAATCCGTGATCAACTCGTAAAAACTTAAAACTTCATAAATTACATGAACTCCTTAAGTTTAGGTACTACATTTTAAGTCATTTATCACGTAAATTGTACTGTTAGATTACAGGGAAAACGTCAAGAAAGCTTCGAATGGGATATTCAGTTGAGATATCTTTATGTCACCAAACATTTACTCTAATATATTGAAAATTTGCCAGTAAAATGATCACACAATTGTTTCAACTTTTCTATAGTAGTTCGTGAGTCAGATATTACCTTCATTTTCTAAGTAACATTCAGAAAAGTATTAAAACACCGAGTGAGTACAGACCACAGCAACATTTAGTTAGTTCATGACCCCTCTTAACTGTTTTCCAAACCAGTCTTACTTCACATAGCATTGCTTGTCTGGGAAAGTTATGGCTCCGTATTCACAATGCGTGTCCCAGCTATTTAAGTCTATGAAGGTATTTTAACCCATAGGCTATTTCAACCTCCTCATTTAATCCCGTAGTGTGTTGATGATTCAATAGCAGAATGCTCACCAGCCACAAGAGACGTCAAAGTTCGACTCCCGATTGACCTTCACCAAACCTCGCCTAGTGTACTCTCTAGTGATAAGCCTGGAGAAGATGGAAGATTGTGTGTAAGAATGGCAACCTCATCCGGTTAGAATAACACAACTGTTACTTAACCTACTAAGGCTTGGAGCCTTCAGTTACACTTAGAACGCAAAGCAATAAAAGAAACTAATACTAGTATTATCTACCATGGAGTTTCGCTTAACATGAAGTAGAAGAATAAGACGGTTGTGGTCAAAAAGGTGCCACTTTCCCTGGTATGTTTGGCTGCTGAAGAGCAGAACAAAGCAGGTTTTAGCTCAGTGAATACACTCTTTGATGGGTAGTTGCATGTATCAGCGGAACTGAAAGTGGTGCAATTTGGAGGGTGCAAACGGTGATTTTTACATACATGATGAAATCATATCTACTGTGCAACCGGTCATTATAATAGCGATAGTGATGATAATAATTCTGTCAATAAAAACATGAAAAAGTGGAGCGATCTGTGGTAAAAAGAATAATGAAAAGCAGAATGGTTAAACAGGCAAATGTTCAGGTAGAAGTAGTAGTAGATAAAGGCTACGAAAAACAAATGATCTGACTGAGTAATGCCACATTGTAAGAGAAGTAAATATAGATGAAGATGTGATAGCACTAAGGGATGACAGACGAGGGAAGGCAAATATAAGTAAGGGATAATGGTGTTATTATCAGTTGGTTAGTTCTTAATAAACCAAAGGAGGGATAACATCTGTACGAACTTCTTTTGGATGCATAATTTAGGTTGAATTGTTCGAATGCCTACCATCTCAGCTGTATGCAGTACACAAATACGAAGTCTAATAGAAAGATCCAATGAAATACAAAGAATCTCACCTTGAAAGCTTGCGTTTTCTCCACTGAGTGACTACTCAAAATCATATCAACAATTTCTCATTCACGGTTGATACAACCTTTGAAGCAACCTAGGCTTTCGAAGGCTTTTACCACTTTTTATGAGACCTACGAAGGGAGTTGCCGTCACTGCTATTGGCCACCAGCCATTATAATTTAAATAAAACTTAGTTTTTGGTTTAAAAATGAGTCGAGTTATTGTGTGTGTAGGGCAAAATATTTGCAGTTTTCCTCCTAGTTCCAATCAACTCTCACTTTCATCTGTTTACCACTGTATCATACAGTCCCATTTCATTCTGTGCATTCACACTCTAAATTGCTTTACACCTACTTTTTGGTTTGATTCAATCTCAGTCGATTTTGTGAACTAATCCCTTTTGTTCATTGAAGATTAGTGGAATAAAATGAAAAATATGCAGTGAAAAGTGACTCTTTTCAGTTATTTATCCGAATAAACCGTTTTGTATATCAATAAATGATTTACACTAAATGCCAGAATGTATGACTTCCTTAAAACTCAGTACCACGACGAAGGCTAAGTTTGTAAACGAGGAATTATCAGTAAAGTTAACACACAAACAAGTTGACGCCAGTAGGTGAATTTATAATAACAACCTGTAATTGCTTCATTGGAACTCTTTTGAAAACATTATAGTTAAAAAGCAGGTAGGGTCGGAAAGGAAGCGATATAATGTCAAGAAGAACATCCCATAGACAGAAAACACTGGTTTTACCGTTAGATTATGAGAAACAGGATTGATTACGTGTCGGAAGAAGTTGAAATTTACACGGAGCTTTATTCCTTTCTTCTATATATATATATATATATATATATATATATATAGACACAGACAGAGAGTTAGACTGACAACAAAATTGTAGACGATGGGTGTGAATTGTAAGTCCAGACCTAGTCACTTTATGCAGACAAACTTTTAAGCTAAATCCATATGTCCAACCAATAAAAATGTCATACTATATTTTATACATTCAAATTTATTAGAACTGGGATAAGCCACATTTACTATTACCTCCAACAATCGCCACATAAAAGAGGGTAAAATAATATACCTAACTACCGGAAAATTGTCTTTGATTCTCACTAAATATATTAGCGCCACCTAATATAGTAATATATTTATAGAGGATAAAAGAAGCTCTCCAATTCTCCTAGATCTCATCCCCCTTCTTATTCTAAATCATTAATGCTCTTTATATCTTCAGCAGCAATGACCATGGTGCACCGTAAATTCATAAGTCAGATCCGAAAGTTTAATCGCTTATCTTGACAGTAACACATTAAGTCAGGAGTGAAACCAACAAAAAATTCATTTATTGTCTTCTCCTACTAGCTGAATCGTTAAAGTGTCAATATGCTACCCAGCTAGCATTAGGGCAGACTATGCGTAGATATGGCTGAGATGTCTCCGATCCGAAACACTGAAAAAGTATACGACTTAGTGGTAAAATGTCATATAGTTTTAAAATATACACACTGTAGTTTTTCAAACAAATCAGCTAGGGTTCTAGCACACAGACCAGCGTAACTTACCTCTAACCAGGGTCACGAAAATGTGTAGGACATTTGGTTTGGCGCTTTCAATGTTCAAACAACAACAAGACAAAACTGACGAAACCATTTTATTTATTCTCGTGTCTCGGGTACAATAAGAGAATTATGAATAGGAAAACAGTATTTTTCATGGTCTTTGTGGGGATTTAGGCGGTGAAAGAAGATCTAAACAGATGATTCCACAATATTTGATAGTGAAATAGAAAATTCAGTCACTTCCAATATCCAGTATCGTTTTTACGAGCTAGTATGAACCAATTTGATTTCTTTGTGCTCGCCTCTTGATTGTGAGGTAGAGGTTCCTGATCTTCGGTAAACGTCTGTGTAGCTCGTCCCGCCACTCGACTGCCGTAGCTTTGGTTGACTCCAAAAGGAGTAATGCTGGGGTTAATTATATGGGGTTTGTAGTATGAAGTGTGTTAAGACTGTTACTACTGTGAATGGAGTTGATCCTTTCACCAGTTAGTCTTTCGGTATCGTCGTCAATGGAAAAGAGATAATAATCATAATAATAAGAAGAAGAATAGATATAATTAGTAAAGGTATTCAGACTAACAGACAGAGAAAGAATAAGAAAACGTAACAACAGTCAGTCAACCGGTATACATATATATATACCAGTAATAATGATAATAATAATAGGTGTAGTTAAAGCTGTCAGGAGAGTAAGACTGAAGGGAATGTGAAGAAGTAAAACGGCCAGTTTAATTGTCTACCTTTGAATGGTATATGCGATTTTAAGGGGATAGGCCATTTGGATGCAGTCCTTGTGTCGCTGCATGGTTGTCCAGCCTTCGCTTAAAGGCGTCCACAGATGGTGCCATAGCTACATCTGCCGGTAAGGAATTCCAGGGACGGCAAACCCGCAGGGAAAAGAAGTGGGAGCGCACCCGGGTCCTTGCCCTCTGATGAGCTATCCTTCTAGGATTTCCACGAGGAAGCCTATACCTACTCAATGGCAGAACACCTTTTTTGGGTGATTCCGATCATTTGTTATTTTGTAGGCAGTAATTAAATCCCCCTAAGGCGACGGTAACTGAGTGTGAACAGGCCTAATTTCTTCAGCCTTTCGTCATATGGTTTATTTCGGAGACCAACCACTCCTTTTGTTGCCCGTCGTTGGACTCTTTCCAAGAGGTTGGCGTCTCTTTTAAGCAGTGGGGGTGCAATGATATTATGCACTTCAAGATGCGGTCTGACGTATGTTTTATACAACCTTAGAAAGAGCTCAGGAGTGAGTGCACCTAATTGTCTATGTGTAAAGTGTATGACCGCATATGCCCTCGCTACATCCCCCGTGTAATTTACGCTTGTGTCCATTTTCTCCATTAGAATTAGACCTAAGTCACGTTCCGACGTTGAGCAGGACAAGCTTTCATTGCACAGGGTGTAACTCGCATTCTGCAGTCTACAGGTGCGTAACTTCACTACTTTGCACTTTTTCAGGTTGAAAGTCATTCCACTGGTTACCGCCCAGTCTTCCAGAAGCCTTAGATCTGCCTGCAGCCTATCTGAGTCCTCCGGACACTTCACCGCCCTCCATATCTTTACGTCATCAGCGTATAGATGAGTCGGGCAGTTTAGACGGCATGGTAAATCATTGATAAAAATCAAGAACATCAGTGGTCCCAGGATAGAACCCTGCGACACTCCTGATGACGAGCTGTGCCAAGATGATCGGACTCGATTGACCTTGGTGCAAAATTGCCTTTCAGTTAGGTAGTCCTTCAACCATGACAGAAGTGGTTTACCTAGACCTACCTGGCTTATTTTGTGTAGGAGAAGGTCATGGTGAACAGTGTCAAATGCCTTCTCAAAGTCTAGAAAGATCACATGGACAGGAACATTCATATCCCAGCATGATGTCCAATCGTCCCAAGCTGATAATAAGTTAGTGACGCAGGATCTTCCTTTCCTGAAACCGTGTTGGGCTTCATGGAGTATTTTAGACCTATCCAGATATTCCCTGATGTGATCATCAATAATACTTTCCAGTACTTCCGATACCACTGGGAGTAGAGCTACTGGTCTATAACTGGTGGGATTTTGCCTATCCCCACCCTTGAAGATCGGAGAAAGGATGCTTCTTTTCCATTCCTTTGGCAGTTTCCCCGATTCCATGGAGTGTTGGGACAAGTCGCATAAAGGCCTACAGAGAGCTTCGGCGCACTGTTTCAGAACAGATGGCCTGATATCATCACAACCTGGGGACTTCCCAGGTATGAGTCGCTGCAGCTTTCTCAGTACTATTGCAGGGTCTATGTGGGGGGTGGCTATTTGGTCTTCCTCCTGTGAAATAGTCATGCCACCCTTTTGGTCCGTAACGGTAATACCCACATTGCTGTTTAGCTGTTTGGCGAAGGCTAAACTGAATGTTTCAGCCATCTCCAGACTAGTGAGATATTGACCGTTTTGGCCTACTAAGGCGCAAGCCCCTTGGTTGGTTGGTTTCCTTTCCGACATGAATCGGTACAAATTCTTCGGGTTTGCCAGGAGTTTTTTAGCAAGGTTAGCCTGGAATGACCTTCTGTGCCTCCTGACTTTTGCATTGCACCGGTTCCTGAGTTCCAGGTATGCATCATGGTCGATCTGGCTTTTAGATACGCGCCACGTAAACCGAGCCTTCCGCTTTGCTTGCAGAATACGCTGCGTGCCTCTCTTTAACCATGATGATTTTCTTTTGGGCTGTGCTGTGACTAAAGGGACGGTATCCGAGATTACTGTATGAATAATCTTTTTTACCGCTTCCCAGTGTTCATCCACAGACAGCTCATCCCATGCTAAGGGCCAGTCTGCATCGGACAAGAGCCTCCGCATTTCAGCATAGTCAGCCTTGCTATAACACAGACATGGTTGCGTAGCGTCCCACTGCAAGTGCTCACGGAGAACGAGGTCGAAACCTATGACTGCATGGTCACTACTTCCTAGAGGAGTCATGACCTGGACCTTTTCGACGAGTAGTTGGTCACTAGTTAGAATGTAGTCTAGTTTTGATGACTTTCCACTAGGGCCCCACCTAGTGTCGTCTCCAACGTTCTCAGTCAGTCCCGTGTTCCGAATAGCTTGCAGTAGATTTCGGCCGAATTTTCCCTTAGCATAGCCCGAGCCAAGGTTCAGTGATGGGGCATTGAAATCTCCAGCAATGGTGATTTGGTCATAGCCCAAGTCTCGTATCCCTGTGATAGTGCTGAGCAGTAGCTGATTGTGCTCTGCCCCACAGGTGGGAGATCAGTAGATGCCACCAAGTAAATGCTTGGTGTGGCCTACGGTGAAATGACACCATATGGAGTCTGGGAGTTCAATAAGTGGCGAGTCCGTTGCGCGCACACATTTAAGTTGCCTGTCAAAGTATATGGCAACTCACCCTCCTTCCTTATTATCCCTGTCTCTCCTGACCAAAACCATATCACCTATACTGATTTCATTATCGGCGATAGTGGGGGTTAGCCATGTTTCGGTGAGAATGATCATTTTCAGTTGTAGGTGTGCTTGGAGATTTCGGAGTTCACCTATTTTTACTCTCAGCCCCCTCACATTGCTATGCAGGCAGCTGACAGTGAGTCTTACAACCTCAGCGTGTTGCGGGGTAGTTGACGTGAAGCTGTCTGCTGGTAGGGAACTTAGTGTTGGGACTAGTTGGCCAGTTCCGATGGAACCGGCCCGTTGTGGTTTTTTCCCTTGGATTTAGGCAGGACACTTGGGTGGCACAGACTGTTATTCTCAGAACTGCATCGCTCGAGTGTCACTGAAGCTTGATGACGTATTAAAGCCTCCGTTTGCTGCCTCCTTATGGTTCGAGGTCTGCTTTCGCAGCATCGGATGTGTCCTCCCAATTTCCCCTTGATCTCATACCACCGTTGAAGTGTTATGGCCAACTTCTGTGGTGAGTTGAATGTGACACTTAGCAGCTTTGGAGAACTAATCAGTGTGAGATGAGCGGGGCGAGGTAGTCGGAGATGGAGATGGCTCCAGAAGCGCCAAGGGCCATCTGAGACGACAGCCATCTCCACTGCTGTACGTCATGCATGTGTTTTTCACAGGCAGTGCCCGTTTCCAGCTCCGGAACACCGTGTACTACCATAGAGGTAGAAGGCAAAAGTTCCGGTGACTCCCTCGCCATTTGTCTGACAGCCCATGGTCTGTCTTGTCTCACCCTTATGTTAGAGCTTCTGTCGATGGCTAGTACCTGAGCCATCAATAGTACCTTTTCGGCCTCTTCGGCAGAGTCCAGTGTAACCCGTAATGGGGGTGGCTTACCTTGAGGTGTGTGGACACCCCTGTACAGCCTGCACAATTTCACTGAATTAATATTCAGACCTAGTTTATTGCACAGGTTGGACCACTGTTCCTGATCAAACAGGGCCCGCTGTTCAAGCAAGCTGTCCTTGCTCACAGGTACGTTAAAGAGGATGAGCGAATTAGACCGATTAACCTCAAACTTAGGTTTGGCCTTTGGCTTCTCGTATTCCTTTGCAGCATCAGCAACTTTAGGCTTCATCGGGTTCTGGCCAGCCTTTATTGTGTTGCCAAGCTTGCTTGTGGATGCAAGTGGTGCTTCTCTAACTCTATCTTTCCTTGATGTTTTAGGTCCAACCTTGTGAATCTTCACCTTGTGAAAATTGGCATTTTCAGTCAGTAGGACTGGAGTGTCCTTCCTACTGTCTGTGCCAAGTTTTGGCAATGTGATGTTAGCAGGTGGGGAGCTACATAAGACCGTGTTGGGACACAAGGGCGGCGTGTTGTTTCTGCTAACCGCAGACACGCTCTGTGTGACTACACCAGGGCGACAGAGTGGACAGATGTACCAAAACCACGGGCACGGGTTATTTCTCATAAACTCGTAGTATGATTTCGGTACCTCTTCGTCGCAACGGCAGTGCACCCACCGCTTGCAAAAATGATCTTAAAGTAGCTTACACATTCCACTGTGATGACTTAGGGTACTTTCAGAAAGCTGTTCAGGAGGAACTAGATCGAGTAACTGCATGGTCCTCCACATGGAACCTAAAATTCAACCTTAAAAAATGTGGTTGGATATGCTTCGGTGCACCCTCAATAAATATTAAA